AACAACACCTGAGTGGCCCCAAGGATCAGGGTAGTGTACCCAAAACGTCCAGGAGGTAAGAGCATCTTGTGGGGAAGTTTTGTTTTATCTTTATGGCCAGTGCATGTACCTCCCATAGCCCCATATGTTGACCCATCTGTAACTCCCACAGGGAGGGGGGTGAAAGTCTGGTCACTAGACCAGGACGAGATCCCATTCCTGCCACTGTTTTATCACGAGGCCACTCTCTTGCATGGGTCCTACCTGATGGACAAGATTTGCCTATGCTGGTGTCTTTAAAACATGTATCTTATTGCCCTTAAGGTTTTCTCCTACAGTCCTTGTGGCCTTAATGTGCGCCCTGGGTGCAGCTGTGGTGTGATGATTGCTCTGAACCCTCGGCTCCTGCCTGCCTGGGGAATGGACGGGCTATGGACTTAATCTGCATAAGATTTTGAACGTAGCTGAATCCTAACTGGAGTTTATCATGATTTTATTGCTATTGTTCTGTCATTATTCTGGTAACAATACTCCAGTTTTCTTGCCCAGGGACCATTGCAGAAGAGGAAGAATGAGTAGATTCTAAGGCGAGATTTCTGTATCGGTGGCCTGTGGGTAAAATTGTAATATTTCCAGAATATCTCCCCTGGCTTTAGTGCCTTTGCATATACTCAAGGGTGGGAAAAGTTCGTCTCTGTGTCAGTGGTTACATACCTGGGTAACCTAGGGTTTATCTGAACCTGAGAAGTTAAGGGGAGGGTCTTGCTTGCTTCTTTCCGGAGCAGGAGAGAGAGACGTCCCTGACTGCAGTTTGTAAGCAATAAACGGGTTTTAAACTTTATTTTCCCCTTTGACTGATTCCGGTTTTTAGAGATTTTTTGCCCTGGGATTTCTTTTCCCTGGACTTACAAATGTGTTCTCCATTTTATTCTGATATAAAGTATTACCCTTGAAAAGTCTGATGAAAATCTAAGATTCTTGCCTTTGTAAGTCCACTTACAATGCAATGTGGTTTTTTTCTCCTCTTTTAAGACTGGTAATATCACAAGACTGTGTCTTTGTGATGGTTGCTTTTGGTCAGTACTCTAGGAGTGCTCTCTCAATATGTATGTCCAGGTTTTTTTTTCTTTTTAATCTCTTAAAATTTTCAGGATTTGTTCTTTACACTTGATTTATTTTATTTATTCGGAGACTCTTACTATTGCCAGGCAGCTGCATTTGGGGAGGTCTTTCTCTGCGCACCAGGTGAAGCCTCAACCTGGATGGGGGAGGGCTCTTGACTCTGAATGAGAAAGAATTCTTGAGCAGGTTGGAAGAGTGTAGGTGTGGATAAAATTGTAATATTCCAGAATCTCTCGCATGGCTTTAGTTCATCTCTATATAAACAGTCATTCCTCAGGAGTGGAGTGAAGTAGTTTATCTCCGTATCAATTACCTGGGCGACTGAGCGCTTATCTGAACCTGAGAGGTTGTGGGGAGGTCTTGCTTGCTTCTGTCGGAGCAGGAGAGAGAAACGGCCCTGGACTGTAGTTTGTAAGCAATAAACGGGTTTCAAACTTTATTTCTCCCTTTTTACTGATTTCGGTTTTAGAAGTATTTTGCCCTGGGATTTCTTCTGCCGGAGTTACGGTAGGTAAGGAAGGAATTCATTATTGCAAGACTAGGAATGAATGGCAGTGGCCTTGCAGGTGGCTGAGAACAGGAAAACGCAGAGGTGCGGAGAGAGGGAGAGGAAGCCGGCTGCCCAGGGTCACTCAGACAAAGGGACTCGGAGGCCCAAATCAGCTCTCAGCATCCCCTCCCCACTTGCAGACTTGGAAATAGAATGAAATAGCAAAAAGACAGAACTGCAGTAAGTTGAGCAGTGAGAAGGCTTCATTTAAAGGTACTCACTTAAAGAAAGGAAAAGTGTGGGCATCCTCAGGAGGCACACCCAAAAGCTGGGGTTCTGTCTTTTAAGGATTTTTCAGGAATGTGACAAAGGGCCAGGGAGTATAGACTTACAAATGCTTATCTCTGCTGATAGACATTATTATGTCTCTTTTCTATTATCAGTCCTCCAGGTAATTGTGCAAAATTAACACAAGAAATTGGTCGGTTCCTCTCCAGGATAGTGCTGCCCTCTGGGAAGACATCGATCAGGGCCACCAGCCCTGCCCCCAGAGGGGGTTGAGTTATTGTCTGTTTGCTAAGGAGTATTTTAGGAATCTTACTTCCAAACTTCCTGGTTTTTAAAATGGAATCTTAGCTTTAAAGATGGAATCTTTCCTGTTCTTTCTATACTGTTTATATCTTGTCTTTTTGGAGAATTGATCAGGATGCTTGTCTCTCTCTGCTCTACATCATCACTGTCCATGTGTTGATATTTTTTGTCACTTTCTCTTGTATTCTTTTCATCTTTTCCCTAATCTCTAAAAATGCCTTTTTTTCACCCATTTTTCTTAAGGTATTAACTGCTATGTTTATTCATTCTTATATTCCTTCTAGTTTACTTCTTTATTTCAGAAATGATCTTTTTCTTTTACATCTGATTCTTCAGTGTGTTGCTTCACGTCATTTCCATATTGTTCTAATTCCAATTCATGTTGTTCTTTTGTCTATTAGTACAATTCTATTATCATTTTTTATCTCATAGTAAGTTGACCGTTTTGGTCTCTTTTATGGGCATGTCTTTCTGGTATGCTTTTGTGGTCTGTGAGGATGCTTTTCTGCTCTTCTTGTTTTTTCTTTTAATAATGTATGGGATTTGACTGAGGTGTTTTTTTGAGAATTTATGTATGTATTAAATTAGTTTTCATAAACTTCTAGAAGGTGGCCTGGATAGAGATAGTTTCTCTGACTTGACAGAGTCATCTTTTGGTTTCTTGTTTTCTGAGGGTCCCTGGCCGTTTCCTCCCCCCACGTTTATCTGGACCTTCGCCCTTATCCCACTGGGCCCCGGGACCGTGGCACCCTCCCTACACTTAGTGCCCGCTTGCTTGCCCTCGCTGCTGTTGCGGCGGCAGTTACACCTGCTCTTCCAAGTGGCCGCCCTGTATTCCATGAACACCTGTGGGCTGTTTGGGGTTCTCTGTTACCAGGCCCATCAGATGGCCTCTTGCTTCCCTCTGCATCTTCTCAGGAAGGTGCTGGCGCTCTCCAGTTGTCAGTGATGTGTCCCCACCCACTTGCAATGTGCAGTTTGTGAAGATACTTTGTCATCCATTGTTGTGCTCTTAGGACCTCAGAATATCAACAGCAATAGAAATGTCTGAGGGTGTCACCTGGGCCACAGCAGACTCCCCAGAGCCATTTCTGCTTTCAGAACCAGTGTTAGGGCTGGACTGGCCCCTTTTGGTTCTTGTGATTGCAAAGCACCCTCACAGTAACCATCATGAAACTTCAAAATACAGGTCTATTATTCACAAGTCCTGGAGGGTGCATGACCCATATAAGGCCATACAGCAAGGCTGTGGCAAGTGCCAGCACCTGGGGCTTTCATTGAGGTCGAGGGTGGGCAGCCTAGGGTTTCATGAGTTCACTCCTTATACTGGTGGATTTAAAACATACGAGTGGAACTAAAGCAAGGGAAGGCAAAAACAAGCAGCCAAATGGTTAGCTAAGTCAACTAGAGAGCTCTGAAACAAGGAGACTTTAGGGGGAGGCAGCCTGGCTCTTTAGTCAGGTGTCGGGCACTGTGTTTATGAAGATAGCCGTCTTAGAAGTGGATGCCTTAGCAATCAAACTTAAGTCAAGCACTACATTGCAATTTTTAAAAAATTGTCAGGGTTTATTTACACCAGTCTTGTAAAATCCAGTTTGGATTTCTAACTGGTTCTGTTCTTTTGAAGAGATTTAGAGAGACTTAAAAACTCTGCTGCTCCCACTGTCTTCCTAAAATCCCCAGTCATATCTGTGCAGTAAGTTCATTGTTAATGGGATTCAAACATCAAAATGATTTAGGATATGCCTGATCCAAAAAGCATCACTCTGGAAAGGTCTGGTTTCCGGGTCAGCTGGTTGCGGGTTGGCCTGCTGGTTCGGTTACTCCCAGTGTGTGGCCTTGGCATGATTCTTCCTGCGAGGCGTCCCTTTCCTCCCCACTGCCCTGGGAAATCACCTGTGTGAAGGCCTTCCTGTTAGGGTCTAGGACTCCGGGGTTTCCCAGAGAGCAAGACACATGGACACGGAGATGAAAATCTAAGCAAAGTCTTTATTCAGCCAGCAAGCTGGGGTCGACAGCACCTCCCCTGACACGCAGGCCGAGTCCGAGCTGCCCACCCCGAAGCAACTTTGGGTACTGATTATATAGGATCTTCACAGCCGTTACACCAAAGCCCGCGCAGTTCTACAACCAATAGGTTTAAAACACACTCTGTATTGTAACCAATGGGAAACATTGTAACCTTTTTTAGGGAACGTGCCAGTTGCCTGCCCGCTTCAATTGTTATCTCTTGCTTACCTAAGCATGTCTATGTTACTTATCACGGGTTACATCCCCAGGCGTTCCCAGGCTGTTGCCCACTTCTAGTTATCTAACTTAGGGTAGGCGCATTTCTCAGAAGCCTCCGGTAATTTACACAAGAAAAGACTGGGTGGCTCTCGCTCTAGGCAGTCAGGTTAAGTGTCATTAGTTCTTTTTCCTGACTCTTGATGCTCTCTGCACTCCGTCACATTCCCACTGCCCTGCACACAGTAGGTGCTTTTCTCTACTGTCTCCCTTTAATTCTACAGGTGAGCAAATAACTTCTTGAACTCTTCTCTGATTTTTCTGGGGAAAGAAAAATCCAGGGTTTTTTATATTTTAACAGGATGTGGCATAGAAAGTAATGCTCTAAGAAATTTTATTTTAATGATGTATCACAACACATTAATATCACTTTAGCACAATAGCAATCTTATTTCAGTTACAAATATACTCTTATTCTGTCCCCAAAAAGTTTTTTCTGCCCATTGCTTTTTGAATGAAAGCAGCTATTTATTTATTTATTTATTTTCAGTTTGATCATTTGCTACCACATGGTTGCTGTTTCTCCTTATAGCTTGCAAATCGGGCTGGAATTCCCCCGGGTGTGTACAATGTTATTCCCTGCTCTCAAAAGAAGGCCAAGGAAGTAGGGGAAGCACTTTGTACTGACCCTCTAGTATCCAAAATTTCCTTCACTGGCTCAACAACTACTGGAAAGGTACGTGACTTAGTCTAAAAAAAACACATAATTCTAATGTTTTCTTTTGATAGACTGTAAAATTACTGTTTTATCTTGATCACCATTTGTAGGAAGATCTCCAACAGTGTTAAAAGCTCTTTGGATAAAGTGATGTCTGATCCTATCGATTCTTTGGGTGGTGTTCCCTGTTGTGAAATGACACAGGTTCCTGCTCGCCAGTACCAAAGGAGTCAGGGTAGTAAAGATTCTCATTATTTGTTGTATGTGAGGTGGCTGGAGATTATCCATTGTATTTCCTCAATTCTGGAATGCAGGTTTCTTTCATAATCTAGACTGAAAGACTCCAGAAACACACAGTCGATGTTGAAATGAATGTCTTAGAATTGAACACAATTGTCCTTAGCATAAAGGGACTTACAGAAACAGAAAGGTCCTGGTCGGTTGGTCGGTTGGTTGTTTTGCCTTCAACATTCAAACATTTTTCTCCCAAAACATCATGTGTGTGCCTGTGAGTGGATTTTTATATATCTGTTTAAATGTTCAACAGAGAGAAAAGGGTAAAACAGAAGTTTTTATTTGTGGTGTTTCTCTCCGGATGGTGTACTTTTCTGCCACTATATATATATAGATAGATATACAGATATATATACACACACACATACACATACACATATCTTACATGCAACATATATATAGCATGAAACACATGTCTATGGCTAGACACACATATCAGATAAAAATAATAGAAGTAATCTGAAAGTTTTGGTGAAACTTTGGTCATTTTTAGATGCCATGAGAAGGAAGGAATTAAGCAATTTTAAGGACTCCCAACCATAATTACTCTTCTCATGCCATGAAGTCATGCTCAGGGAGTGACACTTGGGAACCTGCCATTCACTTCTATGAGAAGCAGAAACTTCTAGATACAGAAACTGTTACAGCTCTAATCAGTGGATCTTACAATGCAAATTTACTCTCAGAAGGTTTCAGACACTACTATGAACTAGTTAGAGAAAAAGAGAAGCCTGGGAGGAGAAGTCGCAAACCTTTCCTGTTGAAGCCAGAGAAATTCCCAGGGAGTCGGACAAAGGCCAGCAGCTCATTGCTTCTCCTCACTTCGCTCGGAGAATTGCCGCCGTCTGACAGAGTCCCAGGAAAATACCGACCATGTTCCCACAAAACCCAGTTTTGCCTCTTACTTATCTAGGAGAGTGTTTCTCTTCAAGTGGATTAAAGGGAAGAGTGATAGGAGCCACTGATAAAGGGACTAACTACTCAATATATCATGAAGTTCTTCTGAGCTGATCTTTGCAGAGAGTCTGCGGCTTAGCTCCTGATCTTTGGGCATAGAACCTTGCCTACCTGAACCCCATCCAGTGAACCTGTCCTGGACAGGCCCACCCTACCCTCACCCGCTTCTGGGGACCACCCCTCCCTGGGCCAGTTGAGGGGACAGCAGCTGTGTTTTATAGCACATAACCCCTTGTCTCTCCCCCGACTGAATTCAACCATGAGTGATCACCTGGCCTAAGGAAAACAAGTTGGTAGGCTGGCCAGTGACCTGGCATAGAAAGATGAGCTGGTCAGTCAGCTTCCCTCTCCAGGGCTTTGGAAGTTGAGGCCCTGAGAAGGTCAGCAGTGGGAACCTTCAGGTCAGAGCAGACCTTAAGAGGTGACAGGAGTGTGTGCGATGCTGCAGGGCCATGTCAGGCCAAAGCCAGGTTCACGCCAACATCATAGGGACTCGGTGGAAAGAAGATGTGGTCAGAGGACACAGCAAGTGCGCACGGAGGAAGAGACACTGTGAGACAGGGTCAGTGTCCAAGGCCGGGTGGAGGCAGGTGACCCAAGAGTGAGCAAATTAAGGAAAATTAATGGCTTGGCAGATAGCATTTTTTTAAAAATTCAAAATAAAAACAGTTTTCTTGAGTCCAGTAAAGAAATATATTTGATCTTAAAACGTGTATTACTTTGTCAAATGGTTAACATTTCATTGAGAAGATCATTACTATTTAATTGCTGGCATAATACATCTGGGCATATGGAGAAGTAACAGCAGGGCGGCAGTCCTCCAGCTGTTTGCATTTTCACCAACAGCTCTTTGGTAAAACCCATGGCCTCAGGGTACACATCGCTGGCGACCATTCCTCGAGTGACCTTGAGTGTGTGAGTGCTGACTGAACCAACCAAGAGGTTCCATCTGTCCTGCAGCTGTGACTAGACAAATGACTACTGTCTTAGAATAAAGCAAACATTCCTGGGCAGCTTTCCTCGGCCATGCCAATCTCTTACTAGATATTTAAAGCATAATAGCTATATGTATCAGAAAGTCTTACAACTGTGCACTGAGCTAGTAATTCTACAGATTCATACTAAAGAAATAATGGCAGTGTTATTTTTAATAGCACAGAATTGGAAACAACCTAAATTTCCAACAGATGGGGGCTGAATAAATTGTGGAACAGCCATGCTGTGGAATACTCTGCAGGCATCTAGGAATGTTCTGTAAACACGTGCTCACATGAGAGAATCTTCACGGTATAGTGTTACTTTAAAGGAGCAAGGTGTAAAGTGTTGTGAACATACTAAGATGTTCCAGATATATGGTTAGTTGGGGAATTAAAGCAGGTTACAAACCTGTATGACTCCACCATCCTGTTTTCTTTAAATTAAAAAAAAAGTATGTATACAAATCTGTGTGTGTGTCCTTATATACCTTAAATTTTTATCAGTGATGAGCTACGGGTTATGGAATTCTGGGTAGTTTTATGATTTTTATCTCTACATTATGATTTTTAAGCCTATTATCTTAAAATGTTTTTTGAATAGTTTATACACCTATATGGTTCAAAACTCAAGACAGTATAAACATGTTCACATTCAGAAGGCCACCCTCACCCCCTGCCACTGATTCTGTCCCTTCTGTAAGGATTTTTAGTTTCTTGATATCTTCCCGGTGTTTCTCTGTCAGATACACATATTACTGTATATTCTTATGTCCCCCTTTTCTTATGTAAACTGTCATCCCATATACACTACCATGCACCTGGATTTTTTCGCTGTTGGATAATATTTTGAAACAGACTTTCCCTTCCGGGTAGTTGACTAAGGGGCTCACAGCATTCTCTCTTCTGCTCGCAGATACTGTTGCACCACGCGGCAGACTCTGTGAAAAGGGTCTCCATGGAGCTAGGTGGGCATGCCCCATTCATCGTATTTGACAGTGCCAATGTGGACCAGGCTGTGGCAGGGGCCATGGCATCTAAATTTCGGAACTCTGGACAGGTGAGTCCAGTAGCGTTTTTCAGGCTGTGTGTGTATATATTTTAGAAAGATCTTGCCACTTCACTCATCTCCTGGAAGGAAACTTCAGGTTTCTTTCATCATTATTAGTTCATTCGCTCTTTCTGCCTGGGAATTGTGGTAGGCTCAGAGGGTCTAAAGAGAAATGAGGTATAATCTCTGATTTCAATATTGTGAACAGCAGATGTCTTTTAATCAAATTGTTCTCTCTTCTTGTCTTTCCCCTGTTCTTTGAGTCTTTTTTTTTTTTTTTTTCAAATTTCCCTCATTGGGCTGTTCTCAACTGAACTAGTATAATCATCTCCTCAGACACAAAACAGTCTGAACAGCTAGGGTCTCAGGCCCACAGTCTTAAGGAAAAGGTGGTAGGAAGATGTTGAGATGGTGCCTTGAAAAACTCAAAAACCCTGTGTCTGGGTCTCACTCTTCCTGAGATGGAGGAGCCATGATTGTTACCCACTACAGGGACACCCTGCAGTGTGCCCAAGGGGGTGTCCGGGTTGTCACTGGGAGAGTAGCAACTTGAGCTCACTCCTTCACAGGAAATTGTGAGATAATAGTTCTGGCAAGGACCTTCAGCATTATCTGACATGAACCTTGCCTTTTACAGCTGAGAAAATGAAACTCTGGAAAGACTAACTGTCTTGAAGTCATACATCCTAGGGTCACAGTCACAACTCTGCTGAGAGGAGCAAGGACTGTGTGCTTAGGGTCCTGGCTCCCAGTTTCTACCGAAGTTCTTGCCAGGATCCTGGCTTCTTACGAAATAGTCCGAAGTACTTTGTCTTTGAGTTCATCAATAAGCAGTTTTAAATGCGTTCCAGAAATGGAATAAAAACTTCTGAAAGGTTATATTGTGAGAAAAAAGGTGAAATGTTGTGGAATATTCTAATATTCAATAGTCTTCATGCTTGTCTTGGCCTTTGGTAACTAATTTTACCCCTTTAACCTGTACTGGTAACCTAATTCTCCCCCATAATCTGAATAAGCATGGTTGTTTCAGAAATAGGTCTGTTTCCTTTTAGAAACACAGAATGCCAGTGTGCGTAACCTTCAGAGTCACACTGGTAAACCTACGACTTCAGGGTTTGTTGCCTTAAGCCAATAAAAATGCACAGGACACAAAATTATCTTTATACTTGTTTCTTGTAGAGTAATACATGAATAAGAAAAAAAATTCATCAATGATAACTATGTTTCCTATAATGTGATTGTATTTTATAATTTAAAAATTATATCTAATTAAAAAAAAATAAGCAAGGGCCTTTTGATTAATTTGGGCAGGCATGGAAGAATGGTTTTGTGTCCATTTTCAAAATGTCAGGGTCAGCCAAACACTTGAAAGGTTTGATAAGCAGAGGGATATACATTCCATCTAGCTTCTGCTCTCTGACTCTGCAGCCTCATTATCTTTCAGGGAGATACAGTTTTTTACGTTGGCTTTTGCTTTCCATATTTGTTTTATAATGGCTTATTAAACCACTTGAAAGACTTGGGTTAGGTGGCCTTTTTTTCTTGCACACAGATATTTTATACTTGCTTATTTATCCACAGAAGTATGACAACAGTCATGGGAGGAGGGGTTGGAGAAGCATGCCCTAAATGTATCATTAGGGCGAAGGCCACGGGGAGAGGCAAAGAGCAGGTTGGACACATGAGAATCCCCGGTGAAGTGTTTTCACGTTCAGAGAGGTAGCAGCAGTCACATTTATTGGTTGGGTCAATAGCTCCTGACAAGCTATATAAATATGTTTTTTTCTGTCTAGACTTGTGTGTGCTCAAACCGTTTCTTGGTGCAAAAGGGTATCCATGATTCTTTTGTGAAAAAATTTGCTGAGGCAATTAAAACAAACCTGCATGTGGGCAGTGGATTTGAGGAGAGAACCACTCAAGGCCCATTAATTAATGAAAAGGCAGTAGAAAAGGTAAGTTCGTTTTATGATCTGCTAAGTAAATTTCATGGATTCACTATCAAAAGTTTAAGTAGCATATAACACTTTTAGCAAGGTGCCCAGCAAGGCTATTTTGGGAAAAATAGAGAAATTGAAAAAGGGTTCATTTCTGCCAGTTTGTGTGAATTGAGTGGCATCATCTGGTCATAAGTTTTCCCAGCTCTGTCATTACACTGAGTCCCCATGTCACTTTAGATTTCTTACTGCCTTTCCTAAATTTTCCCTCATGGTGGTGATAGTTTTATTCTCCATAACCTGAGGAATTAGGATCCTGAAATACTAAGTTCTTTAATTTATAGAAAATCTAAAAGGAAAGTAAGACTATAGTTTTGTATTTTTAAATTGTTTATGTTTTGGCTGAAATGCTGGCTGGCACTGACACAAAAAATTGTCTTTCCAGAAGAATCCTTGATGAAAGCATCCTAGTAGAGACAGAACAGTAGAAGCCATGTTCAGGATTTAGAGATGGTGGGAAAGGGAAATTGCTTTTAGGAAGGTTTTGTTTGTTCAAAGACTATCACTATTTGAGTACTAGCTAGGTAAGATCTCTCCTTGTTCTGATTTAGAAAATAATCCTTTTTAGAGATGCTTACAAGAAACTTTCTTGTAATACCAAACATCCAATATTCTCCCTAGATAAGTCTCTACAAATAGAAAGGATTTTAATGGAATAATTAAAGTCAGACAAATGAGACTGGAGATTGTGTGCGGCAAAGAAGGAAGGAAAGGTGGCTGGAAGGTGGGGCAGAGCCAGCCCGCCCAGGAACCGAAACCAAGCGAGAGCCCGTGAGCATCCAGGGGGTGCACAGCCCAGCTGTGTTCATGGGCTCCCTGAGAGCCCGAGGACTGAGCCCCCCCAGTGGGCTGTCAGGTCAGCTAAACCCCCTACCTGATGCCTTCCCCAGTGGAAACCAAAGGAACCATCAAGGTTGGACAGAACGCTGATAAATTTCTAGTTATTGCCTTGGGCTAGTCTAGATCGGGAACATATACTCAAGTTTGATTGCTACCACCTGTAATTTTGAGGTAACTTTGGTCCCTGGGGTGAATCAGCCAGTGAAGATAGTCTGGCTCTGTGACCAGCTGTGGCTCAAGTGGTGATGGTAGTTCTCATTCACCCTGTGCCTTTAACAGTAATTTACGGGTGCCTGGGTCCTATCTGAGGAGACTGGGTGTGAATTTGTCTGGAAAAGGGCCTAGACATTGATTTCTTTTGTGTCCCAGTTGATGCTAGTTTGCAGGCCGGGAAGCCCTTATCCCAGAGACTTTGTCGTTCTTGCCAAAGTGAAGATGCAGACATCGCTCTGTTGAGGGCGCCATTTCCTAGGACTTGAAGCAGGTAGGAAGGATTGAAGATTTCCTTTTTTGGAGTTAAGTAGAAAACAGCTTGTCTGAAAACAATCCATTGTGTTGGCTTTAATATACATTATACAGTCATAGGGTAAACTCTAGGGGAAAAACTTGCGCATCACATTTAATATGACAAGTAAACAGCAGAGCATATTCTACTTACGGGCCATTAAGTATGTTAAATATAATTATTTTTAGAGACATAAATCGTAGAAAGGAAGCCATCTTTGGCTAATGGGGATTTGTTACAGACAATGGACTATGAGAACATTGTAGGGGTGACAGTTTTAAAAGGGTGAGCCTGGATTGCAGAATGCCCAAACCTATAGTTATCTTTTCTGAAATCTATAGAATATTCAGCTGAGGATGGGAGGATAGGGAGGATGCCAGTGGGCAGAAAATTGGGATGAATTTCCAGAAGGCAGAGGGGGTCATGTTAACAGAAAAGTCAAAGCAGAGGAAGCCTGCAGAGGAAATGGGCACCATTTTTTAGGATGGCACCTTTCTTGAAATGTCAGGGGTGGGAATAGGAATGGGAGGAGGAGGGTAATGCTCTTAACTGGTTATTCTTTTGCACGGTTTTCTGGGTCATTCCCACACCACTCCACACCAGTACATACAAGACAGCAGACATGTGCTCTGGGCAGGAAAATACCTTTGAAGAAATGTAGCGGCCTGCCTAGGAGAGCTACAGCTTCAGGACCGCGGGTAGGCGCACCGGAGTGGGGCGTCCCTGCGGTCACTGGCCTCTAGGGATGGGGGCTGCCCTTGGAGTGAAGCCGGCCAAGTCAGAAGAACCCCAGGCTTGCTGTTGCCCCTCTTATTCAGGGAACAGACTAGAAATAGCAGAGGCTGCGCATGCCAACCACCTAAACTAATCAACCCAGTCCTTCATTAGAAAGATGAATAGCCAAGGTCATGACATTTTTAGGGCAAACCCTCAGCACGTAAGAGGAAATATCAGGAAGAACAAGCAAAACCCTCAAGGAAGCAGATGCATCTGGGAACAGAAAGGGGTTTTCTAAGAATCTAATAGTGTCCTCCAAGTTTTGAGTAGATAGTACATCTATAAAATAGAAGCAGGTTGTAGGAAAATGAAGTGATGAAAACAAAAAGGACTTTTTGGAAATCAAACACATGATGGTAAAAAAATTTTTTATTAAGGTATTCTTCATATACACTCTTAAGAAAGTTTCACATGAAAAAACAATGTAGTTACTACATTCACCCATGTCATCGTCTCCCCTCCACACCCCATTGCAGTCACTGTCCATCAGTGTAGTAAGATGCCACACTCATTATTTGCCTTCTCTGTGCTACACTGTCTTCCCCATGATCCCCCCCACACCAAGTGTGCCAGTCATAATACCCCTCAGCCCTCTTCTCCATCTCCCACCCCTCCCCCTTGGTAACTGCTAGTCCCTTCTTGGAGTCTGAGTCTGTTGCTGTTTTATTCCTTCAGTTTTGCTTCGTTGTTATACTCCACAAATGAGGGAAATCATTTGACACTTGTCTTTCTCTGCCTGGCATATTTCACTGAGCATAATAGCCTCCAGCTCCATCCATGTTGTTGCAAATGGTAGGATTTCTTTCTTTCTTATGGCTGAACAGTATTCCATTGTGTACATATATGTACCACATCTTCTTTATCCGTTCATCTACTGATGGACACTTAGGTTGCTTCCATATCTTGGCTATTGTAAATAGTGCTGCAATAAACATAGGGGTGCATATGTCTTTTTGAATCTGAGAAATTATATTCTTTGGGTAAATTCCAAGGAGTGGAAGTCCTGGGTCAAATGGTATTTCTATTTTTAGTTTTTTGAGGAACCTCTATATTGCTTTCCACAATGGTTGAACTAGCGTACATTGCCACCAGCAATGTAGGGGGGTTCCCCTTTCTCTGCATCCTCACCAGCAATTGTTCTTAGTCTTTTTGATATTGGCCATCCTGCTATGAGGTGATATCTCATTGTGGTTTTAATTTGCATTTCCCTGATAATTAGTGATGTGGAAGATCTTTTCATGTAACTGTTGGCCATCTGAATTTCTTCTTTAGAGAAGTGTCTGTTCAGATCCTCCGCCCATTTTTTAATCCGGTTATTTGCTTTTTGGGTGTAGAGGTATGTGAGTTCTTTATATATTTTGGATGTTAATCCCTTGTCATATATGTCATTTACAAATATATTCTCCCATTCTGTAGGATGCTTTTTTGTTCTACTAATGGTGTCCTTTGCTGTACACAAGCTTTTTAGTTTGATGTAGTCCCATGTGTTCATTTTTGCTTTTGTTTCCCTTGCTTGAGGAGATGCATTCGGAAAAAAGTTGCTTGTGTTTATATTCAGGAGATTTTTGCCTATGTTGTCTTCTAAGAGTTTTATGGTTTCATGACTTTGATTCAGATATTTGATCCATTTCGAGTTTACTTTTGTGTATGGGGATAGACAATAATCCATTTTCATTCTCTTACATGTAGGTGTCCAGTTTTGCCAACACCAGTTGTTGTAGAGGCTGCCATTTCCCCATTGTACATCCATGGCTCTTTTATCATACATTAATTAACCATATATGCTTGGGTTTACATCTGGGCTCTCTAGTCTATTCCATTGGTCTGTGGGTCTGTTCTTGTGCCAGTATCAAATTTTCTTCATTACTGTGGAGCTTGACATTGGGAAGTGTAACCCCCCAACTTTATTCTTCCTTCTCAGGATTCCTTTGGCTATTTGGCATCTTTTGTGGTTGCATATGAATTTTAGAACTATTTGTTCCAGTTCGTTGAAGAGTGCTATTGGTATTTTGATAGGGATTGCATTGAATCTGTAGATTCCTTTAGTCAGGATGGCCATTTTGACAATATTAATTCTTCCTATCCATGAGCACGGGATGTGTTTCCATTTATTGGAATCTTCTTTAATTTCTCTTAAGAGTGTCTCACACCGCCATCTTTAATCCTCCTATAAAAATTCTTTTAAAAGTCAGTTGATGAAGAAACAAAATGAAGTAGAGCTCTTAGATTTAAAGGAAAATGGATGAAAAATACAACAAATGCCGAAGATGATGGGGATATGCATTTAATAATAGGAGCTCTAGAAAGGAGGAATTGAGATAGAAAAAAGAGCAGTATCAAATAAATAATAGAAGAAAGCTTATCCCAGGTAGGGAAAGTAACAGTTCTTCAGATTGAAAGCATTCACCAACTGCCAAGTAGAATGAATAAGAAGAAAAACCCAGATATATTTTGCTAAATTTCAGAATGTCAGGAACATACAGAAAGATCCCAGAAGACAGGCTACCCACAAACTTGGCTGTTCAAGTAGAACTGCTTTAGAATTAGACTTCTCATCAGCAACACTAGAAGTGCACAAGTGCACTCAAAATTCTGAAGGAAAATTAGTTCAGATCACAATTTCATCACCACCAATACAAAGTAAAACACCAGACATGCAGGGTCAGAAAAGTCCAAAAGTAAGCCATTTTTAGTGCACCTTTTTTAAAACAACAACTTGAGAAGAGTGGATTAGAGTAAAATGAGAGTGAAGTCCAGGAGACAACATGGGCTCCACGATTCCTGGAAAAAACGAGGAATACAGTGAGAACAGATCCCAGGAAAACCACCTGGCCTCAGGCCTGGAAGGACACCACTACACGGCAGGCCATTCAATAAATAGGAAGATCAAGGAGCCAGAAGGCAAAGACCGGGGAGAGGGCACCATTGTACACACCATGTGCCCTCTGATGGTCTCTGTATCTGCATATGTAGAACTAGGGTATGTTTTAAACCTATTTTCAAAAGAGAAAAGAGCAAACCAGTTATAGTTTTCTGCAGTTTAAACAGTTTAAGAGATTGCATCATTTCCAGAGTACCCCAAGCAGCCTTCCCAAAGTCTCTTCTTTTTCTCTTCGTGCAGGTAGAGAAACACGTGAGTGATGCCATTTCCAAAGGGGCCACCATTGTGACAGGTGGGAAGCGACATCCACTTGGAAAGAACTTCTTTGAGCCCACTCTGCTCAGCAATGTCACCAGGGACATGCTCTGCTCTCATGAAGAGACTTTTGGACCTCTGGCACCAGTTATCAAGTAAGAGCATTCAGCTGGTAGGAAGATAGGAGAACGTATAGAAAAAGGAAACCTAGAGAGAATTTTGGTTCATGTGCTGTTGTAAGGCCTGGGTGGGTGTTCTTATTGCCTATTTAGACCGCAAAATTACCAAATTCTTTGCTTTCTTACTTCTTGCTTTCTGCTGAATTCATCTGTCTTTTTAATGGAATACATCTTCAAAAGGTTCTTTCAAGGAGTCTGTGGGAAGTGAACTTTCTGGGTTCTTACATGATCTTTTCTCTCACACTCACAAGTAAATAATAATTTGCCTGGATAAAATTATAGATTCAACTCTTTGAAGATATTACCCCTTTGTCGACTTATTTCCAGGGTTGTTACTGAGAAGTTAAGGTCTGGGTCTTTCCCTTAAAAAGGATCTACTTTTTCTCTTAGGACACTTTTAAAATATCTCATGGTCTTGGATATTCTTAAGTGTTACTGGTGTGACACATTATGGGCTTTTTTCATTCTGAGGTCCTTATGTCTTCCTTTAACATCTAAAGTGTTTAGTCCTGGGAAATTCTTGGTCATCGTTTTTTCCAAATATTTCTTTCCCCTCCACTTATCCTCTCCCAGCCTTCTACAATGTCTACTGTAGTAATATGTCTACTTTCATCCTCCACTTCTCTGAACTCTTTTTCATCCATTCCTGACGTCTTCTGAGATACTCCTTTCCCTCCATCTGCGTGTGTAGCAGTTCATTATTCAAATATACCCATTCTATCATCTAACCCATCCACCAAGTGGCTCTGCCCCATAACTGATCCTTCCTGCTTCATTGTGCGCCCTTCTTTTGAGGTGGATACTTACCCTTCTCTTACGTTTTTATCCCATTCCACTATCTGCCTCCTCTAGCATAGGTTACTCTGATATCTTAATCTTGGAGCTCTTCAGATGGCCTATCGATTTCTCTGAACTCATCTTTAGACTCTTGAACTGTTAGCTGCTTTGTCTGGTAGCATCTGCCTTGGAATTGCGGTAAAAAGCGTAGAGTTTAGTTTATGTTCCTTCTGGTACATTTAGAGGACAAAGGGTCAAGCCTCAGAAAGGAAGCCTCTAGTATTAAAACCCAGTCTCAACACCACTCCTCCTGCCCCAGGTGTCCTTTACTCCCAGGGCATTTTGCAGTTGCCTCTCTCGTAAGGGATTCCAGACTAGAGGCCCCTGTCTTGTGTGGCTGCCCGTACTTGCTTTGGTATCACTCTGCCAGCTGCCTGAGTTCCCTGTCTCCCTGAGCTGGCCTTGCTGCTCTTCTGCCCATAGCAACAGGGATCCAGGTCTGTAGGCAACAGCATCTGAAATTCACATGTGTGAAGGGGGAGGCGCAGGCCCCATAAGCTGTGGCCCTTCCCACCCTCCGTGGATGGCCCCTAGCTTTCTCCCTTGAGGCCATCATTCTCCCCAGGATCCAACTACCTTCTTGTCTTTTCCAGAGTGTCTTTCATTTTATACCATCTTTCTTATCATATCCTTTGTCAGCTTTGTTACCATCTTGCTAATGAGATTTATATATTAATCCTCCACTGGGGAAAGGGACCACTTGAAGAACTTTCATCATCTTTGTTTCAATAAAAATTTTTTTACCTAGAATGTGAACCTGGCCTTTTCAAAGAATCGAAAGGATGCAGTGATTAGGAACACAGACTTTGGAGTTGAACTGGGTGTAGATTCAGGCTTTGCTACTTCGTACCTGTGTACGCTCAGACGAGTAAACCTCTCTGAACCTCAGGGTCCTCGTACGGAGAAAGGGAGAAAACTAGGACCTGCCACCCAGGGTGGTTTTAAGGTTTAAATGTTTAATGTATGTAAAGCACTTAGCACATTGCCTGATACCATTACATGGAAGCCATATAATTAAAATTTAGGTCTGGGATAAACAGTTGTTACCAGTGGACTCTAGTTTCACCCCCCTCTCCTGGGACGGAGTGGAGGGACACAGCTCCGATGCTGTATCACAGCTGAAAAGTGAAAGTCCTCAATGATGCCTCAGCTGCAGGTGTGATTAGTGCATTTTGAGGTCCAGAGGGAAGTGATGCCCTGTTTTCCTGTTCTGTAGCTAGAAAGGGTTGCTACCTGAGAGTGGAGAGACAAGCCCTGGGAGACACAGCTCAGAACAAAGAATCCTCAGAACAACTGATTCTCCTGGGGTCACCCTCCTTGGCCTTCCCTCCCCAAAACTCTCTTCTCTCCAGCGTTCATCTTCTATTGACAGGGCCCAGGGCAGCCCAGTCAACTCTGCCTGGTGCCATTAAAGTTCCGGGGCAACAGAAAAATGCCTCAAATCTTGTTCCAAAACTGAAATGATAAAGCTGAAAGACAGTGCGCAGGGCTTCAGTGCTGCTGCCATGCTTTCATTTCAGAGGACGGAGCCCTGGCGCCATCACTCTTGTGTGCAGCATAAGTGGTACGGCCGACAGCAGCCTGGGCCCCAACTTCCTCTGGATGGTTTTCTTTCTACTACATTACGGCTGCTTTTAAAGTAGTTGTTATGATTGTATATTCTTAGTAGGTGGCGAGAGTACTGACCCTTGAAGGCATTTTGTTTGACGTGGTGGCTTTGGTGCGTTTCCCTGCACACTGGCCTGCTTGTCTCTTGCTCTCTCCTGAGGGAAGAACCAGTGCCGGCTGGTGCAGCTGGACTCGGACGTGGAATCATCATGCAAAGAGGTGCTGTTTTCTTCTGTGATCTGCCCTGGGATCTCTTTGCAAAACTCCAGCTTATCATTGTTTGGGAAACTAACCAGGAGAAAAGACAGCTGGTTTTTTTCACTCCCGTCTTACACGTCTTGCTGATGACCCATCTTACCTTTGGCAGGTTCGATACAGAGGAGGAGGCTGTGGCGATCGCTAACGCGACTGACGTTGGGTTAGCAGGTAGGCCTCACCTTGCTGGGTGGCAGTCATGCTCACTTCTCAAGCTGATGCTGGAATTTGCCTTCTAAATATTGCCCTGGGTTTTAAGAAGGAAACATCATTGGCACATGTGTTTAGCTGCTTTCCAGGCTTGTGCAAGTTGTGCAATTCTTTTGTCATTTCCCCTTGATGCACCTGGTTAGACCTAGGAGAGCAATGGGAGCCGAGGCTGTGCAGCTAGTTCCAGGTGGACAACTGCACACACCCCTTAAGTCCCATGTTCTCAGGGGCTTGGTGTCTGGAAATTCCAAGTGCTTTCCCCTCTATTTTGCTCCTGGAAACCTGAACTGAAGAGGAAGCACCAGACCAAGGGCATCAGCAGAGTGTCAAGGATGGCGAGAGAAGCGAAGATGCCTTTTGCTGGTTGGCCACTATTCTTTAATGAGGAGGTGGTCAAGGCAGCCACGGTGTGCACCCTATTACCCTGACAAAATCATACGTGCATAAATGCACTCGACAAATCTGTTTGGCATCCACAGTGAGCAAAGTACTGAGGAAGATACAAAGATGTAAAGATAGAGCTGCACCTCTATAGAAGCTTCCCATCTGGGGCTAAGAGAACTATTTATAACAAGAGAAAGAGTGTGCTGTCCCTCGCCCCATGCTGTCTATGCCAAACAGTTACAGAGCTGGTGTACAATGTGCAGAAGAGCCCCTGTGGCTCTGAGTTCAGCATTCCTTTCTTTCATTCATTGGGATGATGGTGTAGGAAGCTGTGCTCTAGACTAGGTCATCAAAGATGGGCAGGATTCTGATTGTGCAGAGATTGGAGGAGATAGATTCTGGGCCGAGAGGATCAAGGAAGTTAAGAGTGAAATAAGAAAGGGCAAGGAGAATTGACTGAGGAGTTTAGAGACAGTGGTTGGTGACTGGAATGATGGAAAGTAAAGCTGGACATGTTGATTGTAACCACCCTAGGGAGGATTTAAATACCTACTAGGAGTCTAACCTTATTTTATAGATAATGAGGGGTCACCAGAAGGTTTGGCAAAAATATCATGAGATTAACCTAACCCAGCAGGATAGATTGAAGAGTAGACTTTAGGAGCTGGGAGGTTATTGTTACAGTCCTGGTGGGAGGTGGTGAGAGCCCTCATGAGAATGGAACAGAAGCAGAAAGGTGATTTCCAAAGGTCTCGGATGAGCAATGGAGAAGACCAAGTTGGGGCTGTATGAGGGAGGAGTGACTAGTGACTAGTTCCAGCCAGGTGACTAGACAGATAGTCATCAGTGGCATCCTAGGCAATAGACATGTCCTTAATAACTGTTCCACATGCTCTGTCCTTTATTCCTGTAACAGGTTATTTTTACTCTCAAGACCCAGCCCAGATCTGGAGGGTGGCAGAGCAGCTGGAGGTCGGCATGGTTGGCGTGAATGAAGGGCTGATCTCCTCCGTGGAGTGCCCCTTCGGTGGGGTGAAGCAGTCTGGCCTTGGGCGAGAGGGGTCCAGGTATGGCATTGATGAGTATCTGGAACTCAAGTATGTGTGTTTTGGAGGCTTGTAGGATTCTTCCTTTTTTTAAAAAAAATAAAAAAGCAAGCTTACGTCATATATGAGGCCATTACCATACATTATTTTAAATAAACTTAGAATTTATTGGAATTAATGATTTTTTAAAGCTCATCCAGTACTTATGATCTTAGGCGCCCCTCCCCTTACCTGCCTAGGGGCCAGTACCTGTGGCTGGTCTGTGTCTGCAGAGTCCCCGAGAGCCCTCGTTGGGTTTATAATGAAACCCTGAAGCCCCACCACAACCCCAGGTACCTCGGGGCAAGGTGTGGAGTGAGGCCAGCCAGCCCGTGGGGCCCCGTCACCCAGGGCAGTGGCGCAGCCATCTCCCACGTGGCTCCAGGACTTAGATGCAGAGGGCTGCAGGGGCGTCCCCCAAGCAGGACTGGCGGGCTGGTCACAGGCACGGCACCCTGGCCACCTGCCAGCGCAGCCTGACGCTCCTCGCCAGCTAGTCAGGGATGTTGATACAGAGGCTGAATCAATCACTTTTCCAACTTCTGAAACAGCAGAGTTGCCTGTGTTTCTGTGAGGAATGAAGGAGCCACTCTGCCTTTTTCTGGACCCATTTTTACACTGAAGTCCTCATCTAAATTTACTACTAGGAAATTATGTTTCCATTTCTGCCCTATTTTCAGTTTCATTAGTTTCCTTTGGGAAATGAGCATAAAGCAAAGAAGAGTAGAGGCAAGTGGGATTTTTTTTTTTTAATATATTTTAACAACAAGAATTAGAGAAGGACCGTCATTAGACCAGGTGTTGGCGAACTATAGCTCACAAACCGGATCTGGCCTGCCACCTGTTTTTTTACAACCCAAACCTGAGAATGGTTTTTACATTACCAAATTGTTGGGAAAAAATCTGAACAATATTTCATGATACATGAAATTCAGATTTAAGGATCCATAAATAAATGTTTATTGAAACATTTAATACCATACCCATTTACCATATGATCTATGGCTACTTTCTTGTCTGAGTACTTGAAAAAGGCCTACAAAGCCTAAAATGTTTACTCCTTGGCTTTTTGCAAGTTTGCCAACCCCTAATCTAGGCCGAGAGGGAGATAGATATTAATCTTCCTTCATTTTTCAAGTACTATTTTATCTTACTAAACATTCTATGTAAAAAAGCATTGCTCCAGTGAGTTCTCATCAAGAACTTCCCAGCAACTGTCACATAACTCAAATGAAATTACCCAGATAACAGGAGCCTATGGGCAAGAAAATACACTTCTCAGTTTACTTTCCCAGCTGTGCAGGGGGCCTCACTTAAAGAACTCATCTGCATCTGTTATCAGTAGCTCTTTGAATCTCTTTTAAATATGATTTTATGGCAAGTATTGTTTCCATGTCTACCTTGATTCTTATGGAAAGATTCTATGAAAATAAAGATCAGAAGCAATGCAAATAAATGTTCTTTGTTAACTTACATTATTAAATTGTGCCACATGACTGACTGCCTTCTCTGAAGTCAGGAGGCTGTAGTTTTACTTATTCATGTGCAGCTATTTTAGATAGCACCTTACTTGAGTGTAACTTCTATGCTGTGATTTTTTTTGTGCTGTGTTTTATGTGATAAAGTTTTAGAGTAAGTGTAGTTGGAGATGTGGAAGTATTTTGCTTTGAAACATGCACGTAGCTCATTTTTCCAGTTTTTTATAATTTTGTAAATGCCTCAATGTCTTGTCAGTAGAGTTGTATGAGTGTGTAATTAATAAATGTTGAATTAATGGAATTTTCTATTTCTGCATTAAGGTTTCTGGTTATGTTTTTTTTTCTTGCCAGCTCATTATTTGAGTTTGTATTAGGTATCATTAGGCCAGTTCAGATATGCAGGGGAATATGTTGCCCCAAAATAGGACAGTAGGAGTTCAGGACATGCCATCTCAAAATACGCTGCTTTGGCATAAGGATTATTGTGAGCTGAAGGCATTTGAGATGAAACAGATGTTAGAAAAGCTCTCTGCCCTCCCCCTATTTGCCTAAAAGCAGGACTTAAGTTTACAAACTGTCCGCCTTCCCCTGCCTGCCTCCACCAGGAAGGACAAAGTTTGGTCCCAGAGTCAACTCTAGACCCTATTGGCATCACTGGGCACCAGAGGACTCTACAATAACAGATTTTATTGACTAACCTTTATCTCTGCCCTTCAAAGCCTACAACTCATTTCTCCACAAATTTATTGTTCTTTGTTGAAGATGCTTTGTAAGCCACTTCTTTGAGTTACTCATTTTTCCCTGGTATCTCCCATGTATACATGGGGTATACATGTCGATAAACTTGTTTTTCTCTTGTTAATCTTTTATTACTGGAAAGGGTCTCAGCTAAGAACTCAGAAGGGAAAGTTATTTTTGCACTATGGGTGAAAGGCACTCCCTCCCCAGCAAGTGCTAGTTGGGAGTGCCTTGGGCCTGGACATTCTGTGCTCCGGCACCTACAGGAGGGCATGCCCCAGGGTTTGTGCTCCTTAAACGTTTGTTGAGCTAAGTTGAGAATTGACTTCATTGGCAGGTGTGGCTGCATAAAGGTGTGTACTCCAGCTTTCCCAAATTCACCACTCTCTGTTCTACACTTGCTACTGTTATACACTATGTACCTTTCCCAAAATTTGAGGGAGGCTTTTGATACAGAAACGTATGAGGAAGAAATTTTCTGAAACCCTGCTATTCAGATATAATCACTGTTAATTATTTCAACAGTGTGTCTTATATTTTCACCAAGTATTCATTTGTATTTTAAGAAATTTCAGCTGGCCTCATTGAACCTGAAATTGCAGCATTTGGCCTTGGGCAAAGATAAGGTTTTCAGTAGAAGAATGAACAGTTGTCATACATCTCACACTGTCATTACATTTATTTCATACATTTCTTTTAACTTGTATAACTCCAGGGAGGGGAAATCCCGGGGCAAAATACCTTTGAAACTGTAATCAGTCAAAGGGAGAAATAAAGTTCAAGAAACCCAATTATTGCTCACAGGCAGTTGTCCCGTGCCTCTCTCGACCCAGCTGCCGCAGCAGAGTGAAAAACCCCACCTTACCTCTCTGGCCCCTCTCTGGCCTTTGTAATTACCTGCTGATATGGAGATGGACTGCTTCTCTCCCCTCCTTGGAAACACCTATTGATATGGAGATGCACTAAAGCCAGATGAGAGGTTCTGGAAATATAGCAATTTTACCCACAAGCCACCCCTCCAGAAATCTCACCTCACAATGCACATGTTCCCCATCTTCTGCAGTGGCCCCTGTGCAAGAAAACTGGAGCATTAGAACCAGACTAATAACATAAAATCATGATAATCCTCAAGCTGGAGTATCCATCTAGGTTCAGAGTCCTTAAGTCCATAGATTGTCCATCCCACAGGCAGTCAGTAGCTGAACAGGTAGGAGTTCAGAGCAATCATAATGCGGCAGCTGCAGCCAGAAGGCAGTGCCAGGCCACAGGGACTGTAGAATAACCTTAAGGGCAATAGGGAAACACGTTTTAATGACACCAACATAGGCAAATCTTGTCCATCAGGTAGGATGCATGCAAGAGAGTGCTCCTGTGACAGGACAGTGGCAGGAATGGGGTCTCATCCTAGTCTAGCACCAGACTCATCCCCCTCCCTGTGGGAGTTACAGATGGGTCAGTGTATATATAGGGCTACGGGAGACACAAAACTTCCCTGTAAGATGCTCTTACCTCCTGGAAGCTGGCCTTGTGTGTATTCCTGGAGTAACAGCAGAGTGGCCCTCAAAGATCGTGGTATGGTACTGTGGGAATTGGGCATGAAAAATGTCACCTATAATATGGACCCCCCAGGGCCTAGATGAGGAGGTGTTTACTGTAGGAATGAGCAATGTGGTGCTGCACACAGCTCCCACATCTCTCTTTGGGTCCCTAGTGAATACTCTTGCCCCCCACCTAGGGCAACCCATAAGCGAGGCTACAAATACTTTCACAGATCTGGGGGAGGTTGAAACAATAAGGGCATGGAGGGAAGTATGGGCCATGACTGAAAGGAGAGGTGCAAAAGGCCCAGTGAAGGTCTTGAATACCCAGATGTGGGCTAATTTGATAAAGGCTGGGGTAGTGAAAGAAAAGCTTGATGGGCAGCCCAAAAGAATGTTGTTAGAACTATGGCACCAAATAAAGCCAGAGCAGCAGTTCCAGGCCCTGAGGTCTGGGACACAGAAACCAGAGTCAAGGCCTCATGCCCGGCCTATGTCCCTGCAAAACTTCATAGGAGCCAGTAGTTAGGATTCATCTCAGCCCTCACCCCAAAAGGAGGTCCACTGGGCATTGCAGTTGGACTGAGGGGGGACCAAAGTCCCCACCTTGGGAGGACATGGTGGGGACCAGAGGCCACATGTCAAATTTGGAATTCATTTGTCCCCTGTGAATGTACAACGTGTTCTGGCACTGGTGGAGACAGGAGTTGAGTGTTCTCTGATTGATGGCAACCCTAGGTGTTTTCCCAGGACCCCTGGTGTGATAGATGCTATGGAGGTAAGGCAATTAGAGTGAAGAAAGCCCAAATCTCATTGGGAATAGGACATTTACCCCCAAAGGAGTATATGGACATTTCTCCCATCCCTGAATATATTTTGGGGGTAGATATGCTGCAGGGCCTGTGCTTACAAACCCCTGCAGGTGAGTTCAGACTGAGGGTACGTGTGGTAAAGGCAGTTCTGAGGGGACATGCTAAGCACCCACCTGTTGCTCTGCCTGTACCTCGGCGGGTGACGAATACTAAGCAGTATAAATTGCCTGGGGGCACAAGGAAATTGGAGAAACTCTACAGGAGTTGGAGAGGGTGGGCATCATAAAGCCCACTCATAGCCCTTTTAATTCCCTAGTGTGGCCAGTGAGAAAGCCAGACAGCTCCTGGCGTATGACTGTAGACTACAGGGAATTGAATGAAGTCACACCCCCTTGGCCTGCTGCTGTCCCCTCTATAGCAGACATTCTGGACACCCTCAGCCACGAGCTGGGAATGTATCATTATGTAGTAGACCTTGCTAATGCTTTCTTCTCTATTGACATAGCACAGGAAAGCCAGGAACCGTTTGCCTTCATGTTGGAAGGCCAGAAGTGGACATTCACTGTCCTTCCAGTGGGGTATATCCAGTCCCACCATCTGTCACTGACTTGTAGCCCAGGACTTGGCCTCATGGGAGAAACCGCAAACAGTGTGGTTGTATCACTATATTGATGACATTATGCTCACGTCTGATTCTCTTTCAGATTTAGAAGGGGCACTTCCTAGACTGTTGCAACATCCACAGAAAAAGGGATGGGCTGTGAACAGCACCAAGGTTCAGGGACCTGGTTTGTCTGTGAAACTCTTGGGGGTTTTCTGGTTGGGTAAAACTGAAGTTGTTCCTGAAGCAGTTATAGAGAAGATCCAGACTTTCCCCACCCCTACCATTGTGGCAGGATTACAAGTTTTTGGGTCTTTTGGGCTACTGGAGAGTTTAACCCCCCCACTTGGCATAAATTCTGAAGCACTTATTCTGGTTGGTATGAAAGGGCATCAGGAAGGGCTGGGATGAGGCATGTGCAGCTGCTTTTACTCCTGCCAAGCAGGCAGTCAAGACCATACAGGCCTTTAATATAATGGACTCATCACAGCCTTGTTCATGTAACTGAAATGGTTATGGATAGGGTCTTTGGCAGTGGCTTGAATGTACACGCTAACATACTGGATTCTGGTCACAACTATGGATAGAAAAGCAACCGGCTGCTGTGTACCCCACCTTACTGGCTGTGGATACCCATCAGCAGAACAGCTCCGTCCAAGGTAATAACCACCTATCCCACCGCAGGGTGGGTGTGAAACTGGACCCAAAGGCCATGGACTGGCGTGGCACTGTCCCACTGGCCAAATGGGGCACATATCTACAGTAGCACAGCGCCCTCTCTACTAGCCCCTTAAGTGGAGAATTCCAATGCTTATTGGGGGCCAGTGACCTATATCAGTGGAAAGCAGGAAGAACATGCTTTTGAGCCATTGATAGCCAAGACTCATTAGGACTGAAAAGCCCCTATACCTGAAGATGCTGGCCCACAGACAGCTCTAGTGGGCAGTCACCACTGAAGTGGAGGGCTGTGGCTTTCCATCCTAAGATTGAGACAATATGGATGGAGGATGGAGAGGGGAAGAGCAGCTAATGGGCTGAGTTGCAGCCAGTATGGCTCGTGATCACCCAGGAGCCTTCCCCCATAGTCGTCTGCACTGACAGCTGGGCCATCTATCAGGGCTTGACCCTGTGGCTACCATCATGGTATCATGCCAACTGGATGGTTGGTCCCTGGCCCCTTGGGGGCAAGAGTTGTGGCAAGACCTTTGATCAGACTAAGACCATTATTGTATATCAAGTGACTGGCCATTTGCCTTTTGGCATCCCCAGGCAATGATGAAGCAGACACATTGGCCCTGGTACACTGGCTGGAAGGAAAGTCTGCCTCTGATGTGGCCCAATAGCTTCACCAGCGTTTGTTGCACGTAGGGCAAAAGACAATGTGGGCTGCAGCCCATCGGTGGGGCTTGCCACTGACCTTTGAAGTCAGCAGAGCCCGGAAGGAGTGCCTTGTGGGCTCTAAGAGGGACTTAACACCGAGTCCCACAGCAACATGGGATAATAGTAAGCGGGCCAATACCCCTTGTCAGGTGGAAAATAGACTGTATTGGGCCTCTGCCCATATCAGAAGGATATCGGTATGCCGTGACTTGTGTAGACACGGCTACTGGACTATTCCTCGCTTTTCCTGCAGGTCGTGCAGATCAGCAAACCACCAAGAGGGGCCTGGAGCTTCTCTTTACAGCCTATGGCCGGCTGCAGGTGACTGAGAGCCATCAAGGCACCCAATTTACTGGACATGCATTACAAGAATGGGTGCAGCAATTAGGAATAAAGTGGAAATTTCATGTACCGTAAAATTGTACCAGGGCAGGCCTGATAGAGAGGTACAACAGTTTGTTGAAAAAATCTGGGCTGAAGTCAGACACTAATAGTCTACGGGGTTGGTCAGTTCGCCTATGGACAGTGCTGTGGCGTTTGGATGAGAGGCCCCGTGAAGGAGCTCTGAGCCCCGTGGATGTGCTCACGCACCTTGCTGCCTCCACTATACAACTGTGCGTCCAAACCAGAGGAGCTACTGAAGCCAGGATACGGCAACAGAGCAACACCCTGCTGCCCGCCCTACTGCATTAAGGCCTGGAGACACTGCTGAATGCACATGGCCCTGGACATTTTGACACATAGACAGGTGATGGCTGGCCCTTCTGGCACCTTGGGGGAAAGGCCTGGAAGCTGACCTCCTGTGTATTCCTGGAATAAGCAGCTGAATGGCCCCCAAAGTTCCCAGTAGTGTACCCAAAACGTCCAGGAAGTAAGAGCATCTTGCAGGGAAGTTTTATCTCACAGTGCATGTACCTCCCATAGCCCTATATACTGACCCCTCTGTAACACCCACAGGGAGGGGGGTGAAAGTCTGGTCACTAGACCAGGACGAGATCCCATTCCTGCCACTGTTTTATCACAGGGCCACTCTCTTGCATGTATCCTGCCTGATGGACAAGATTTGCCTATGCTGGTGTCATTAAAGCATGTACCTTATCACTCTTAAGGTTATTTTCTCCTAGTCCTTGTGGCCTGGATGTGCCCCCCTGGCTGCACCTGCCGCGTGATGATTGCTCTGAACCCTCGGCTACCGCCTGCCTATGGAATGGACGAGCTATGGACTTAATCTGCATAAGACTGAACATAGCTGAATCCTCCAGCTTTAGGATTGTCATTTTATTGCTGTTGCTATTGTTATGTCATGAGTTTGGTTACAGTGCTCCAGTTTTCTCCTGGAAGAAGGGGAATGAGTAGATGGTGAGGCGAGATTTCTAGAGGGGTGGCCTGTGGGTAAAATTGTAAGATTTCCACAATATCTTGCCTGGCTTTAGTGCATTTGCATATCCTCAGGGGTGGAGAGAAAGTTCATCTCCATGTCAGTGGGTAATTACCTGGGGAACTGAAGGCGTGTCTGCACCTGAGAGTTTAAGGGGAGGGGCTGGCTGGCTTCTTCCTGAGCAGAGGGGGAAGAGGGCCCTGGACTGCAGTTTGTAAGCAATGAACAGGTTTTAAACTTTTTTCCTCCCTTTGACCGATTTCAGTTTTTAGAGGTATTTTGCCTCGGCATTTCCTCTCCCCAGACTTACACTCTTTACAGTTTTTCTTCTATGAGAAAAGAAGTCCAAGGCGCTATGAAACTGACTAATCATTATCAATGACTTTGCCTCTGTTGGCAACATAACTACAAGCATGAACTGTAAAAAGTTCAGGAATTTAAAATCCTAAAATTTCATTTATAGTTGGCTAATTATGTATTGTTAGCTGACTAAAATTAGGTCTAATGCAGGAGAGTTAGCATCTACTTAAAATGCAGATGGTCATGGCTTTTTTATTTCGGCTTAATTTATAAAACATAAATAGGAGATCTAGTCCCAACGCCTCAATAACCTGTTTCTTTTGAAGATTCATTTAAAATAGTAACTTATTTTGGTGCCTGGTTAAAAAAAATAATAATGTAAAGCCTAGCCCAGAGACAACATGGTCCTGCATGAAATCAAGCTGACAGCTGTGCGCTACTAAAGGCTCTGATATTCTATGCACCCTCTCATTTAGGTCTCAGATTCTGAACATAGGTAGGCTTCAGTTTAAACAGTTCTGAAATTTGAGGACTCAATCGACAAAATAAAACCACAATAGTTTTTTCTTGCTACAGTGATCCAGTATACTGGTGTTAGGCAGGGAAACAGATACGAGCCAGGTGGAAAGAGAATAAGGCCAGGAAAGCCCAGAGTTGATCAGTTAAAACTCAAAAAACCAGGAGCAACTTGGCCTGGAATGTTTGAATATTCCCCAGATAAAGGAGGGTACCTCAGCATAGCCCATGTCTTTATTGTGTTAATCATGCAGGCCTAGCTTATTTTGTTAACTTCACCTATATGCTCTTTTTTTCTCCTTCAGCCCTAATCAGGTTGTTCACCTGATTAGCAACCTAGGTAACTAATTCAGCACGCAGGTCCAGCCACAAACAACATAGTAAAAGGCTAGAAGGATTCTCAACTTTTTAGCAGACAGTAACTAAGCCCACCTTGGGGGCTGGGCAGGCAGTCTTGTTTGATATGCTCCCAGACCAAGATGCTGGTTATCTCAAGGGGAAATCAGAGCAGGAAGTTCCTTGTGTTAATTCTAAATATTCAGAAACCATTTAATAGGTCTGCACAACCAGCCCTTAAGTCACATTTCTGAAGAATCCTTAAAAGAGGGTGTGGGTAAAACTGTAATATTTCCAGAATATTTCACCTGGCTTTAGTATATCTGCATATCAATAGGCATTCAGAGGTGGAAAGAAGTATGGCTTTAGTTATTTCAGATCCTCAGGGGTGGAGAGAAGTTCTTCTTATCAGTGGGTAACTACCCCGGCAATAGAGGGCGTATCTGTACCTGAGAGGGGAGAAGGGCCAGTTTTGCTTCTGCTGGAGCAGGAAAGCGAGAGAAGGCCCCAGGACTGCAGTTTGTAAGCAATGAATGGATTTTAAACTTTATTTCTTCCTTTGACTGATTTCAGTTTTAGAGGTATTTTGCCCCGGTATTTCCTTTCCCTGGACTTACAGGGGGAACCCCCAACTTTTCGGGGTGCTCCTGTGATGTCGCCTGAAGTACCTTTAAATAAAACTTTTACTCTGCTTCACTAATGTGTCTCTGCCCTTCAATTCTTTTTTGCGGCGGGACAAGGACCAGGGAAAATACACAACACTCTCCCAACACTGATTCCTCCATATTAAGCCTACTTTTCCAGAGAGAAATATTTGCAAAAATCCAGAACAGTATTACTCAGAACATTCAAAACTCGTACTTGAAAAGCAGTTCACAATATTATATCTAAATTGCACAGAAGACCCCAGTGATCACTAGGAAATCTACCACAGTCCAGTTTTTCCAATCCAAGGAGGTCCAAACTTTGAGGAACAATGTGGCCATCTTCGGCTGCTGTTCTGAAAAATACTCGGTCAAAACGAAGCTTACAAGTAGCCGATATTCCAAGATTAGAGTTCATTTGTGTATCCCACGTGTACTGGCAATGCTTAGGTTTACCCAAAAACTCCCAGACATCCAGAATGTTGCTGGGCAAACCACCACATCTGGCAACCTGAAAAGAAAAAAAGAAAACTCTTTTAAGATTCAGTCTTTTTACCCCTAAACTAAAAAGGTGTCTTGGGACTGGCTGGGGTAGGTGGGTGGGTGGGTGGGGAGGGTGAGGAGGATAAAGGGGCACAAAAATTCTCAATTATAATGTAGGGTCATCATGGGGATAGTACTACAGCAGGGAGTATACTTTCAGTGATTCTGTAACACCTTCTTATGTTGACAGATAGTAACTGTACCAGCTGGGGTGAGGATTTAATAAAAGGGGTAACTGTTGAACCACTGTTGTATACTTGAAACTAAAATAAGACTGTATATCAATTTAAAAAAAAGGTGCCTTTACTATTCCACCTAAGCACATTTCAAGTTAGAATGTCACAAATTATTAAGCACAAATGTAAAACTAGATGTTATAACTGGGTATATTATAAATACTATAAAAATTATTTTGTTGTGCATCGTAGAGTAAGTAATATAAAAATATCTCTTCTGCCATCAACAGATGTCTTGGATGTGAGATACCACACAACACTAAGAAGGCTGAAAACCCATGTCCTCAGTTATTGCTATTAGTGATTTTTTAAAAATGAACACAAGTGAAAAGAAGGCAAAACCATTACTCCACTTTAGTGTATAAATTGTAGAACTATTCATATGATCCAATAATGTTGACTGTCTTCAGTTTTATTTAATGTTACTAACAATATCAATTCTTAAAAAATATTTTAAGAATTTTATTGTGGTAAAATATTCATAAAATTTATTATTTTAACTAAGTACATCCACAAATTGTGCAATGACCACCACCATCCATCTCTAGAACCTTTTCATTTTCCCACACTGAAACTTGGTACCTGAACACTAAACACTAACTCCCTTTTCCACTCTTTTACCCCCAGCCCCTAGCAGCCACCATTGTATTTTCTGCCTGTATGAATTTGACTTTAGGAAACACATGTAAGAGTATTTTGTCCTTTTGTGACTGGCTTATTTCACTTAGCATGCCTTCAGGGTTCATCCATGTTGTAGCATGTGTCATTCCCCCTTCCTTTTTAAGGCTGCAAAATATTCCATTGCACATGTATACATTTTGTTTATCCATTCATAATAGACACTTGCTTCCACATTTAAGCTTTGTGACTAATGCTGCCATGAACTGAGGTATACAAATCTCTCTTCAGGACTCTGCTTTTATGTTTTGTGCATACACACAGAAGTGGAGTTGCTAGATCATATGGGAATTCTATGTCTAATTTTTGGAGGAATCCTCACATAATTTTCCACAGCAGCTGCACCATTCGACATTCCCACCAACAATACACAAGAGTTCTAATTCCTCTGAATTCTTACCATCACTTGTCATTCTCTATTTTTTGATAATAGTCATGCTAATGGATATGAAGTGGTATCTCATGATGGGTTTGATTTGCATTTCTCTAATGACTAGTGATGTCGAACATCTTTTCATGTACTTATTGGCCACCTATATCTCTTCTTTGGAGAAAGGTCTATTTAAGTCTTTTGCTCATTTTTTAATCAGGGTTTGTTTTTTAAACTGGTTTCTTTTTGTAGAAGTTCTTTATACTGAGTATCAACTGCTTATCAGACATATGATTTACAAATATTTTCTCCTATTCCACTAATTTTCACTGTTGATAGTATTCTTTGATGCATAAAAATTTTTAATGTAGATGAGGTCTACCTTAACTACTTTTTCTTTTGTTGTCATCTTTTTAAAAATCATTGCCAAATCCAATGTCATGAAGCTTTTCCCTGAATTTTCTTCTAAGAGTTTTATAGTTTTAGCTCTTACTGCTATTATTTTTTAAGTCTCTGATCCATCCTAAATCAACTTTGTACAGGGTACAAAATAAGGATCCAGCTTTAATTTTTTTGCCTTGTGGATATCTACTTTTATCAACCCCATCTGTTGAAAAGCAAGATTTTTTAAAATGAAGTATTGTTGATACATAATTTTATATTGGTTTCAAGTATACAACAGAGTGGTTCAACAGTTTACCGTATTAAATCCTCAACCCCACTAGTGCAGTTACTATCTGTCAACATAGGAAGATGTTACAGAATCATGTACTACTAACTCCGTGACCAATGTATATTATGATTGAGAATTTTTGTGCCCTTTTATTCCCCTCACCATCCCCACCCACCCACCCTAACCCCAAATCCATCTATGGTAACCGCCAGTCATTTCTCAGTGTCCATGAGTCTACTGCTATTTCGTTCATTGTTTTGGAAAAGCAGGACTTCTTTCTGAGTACATAAGTCAGCCAGTCGGGTACTAAGAGACAGCTGGTGAAAGTCATTGATTTGCAAATACTCTAATAGAAAGCTTTTTAATACTCTGTGCACAAGGACACAAAGTTATTAAGAGAAGCCAAGCAGCACTTCATTTGGGATCCTGCCTCTGACCGTGAGTCCTGACATGCCTTTACTTTCCTTTCACTTCTCCCTCCACTTATGGAGCTGTGGCAGTGAAAATGAACAGAATCTCTGTTTCAAATCACTTTTACTCTGATGTGAGCTCAGCCAGAGCCAGGGGAAAAGGCAAGGCAGGCTCACCATTTGATATATTCTGAATCTATGAAGGTCCTGAAAGATCCCAACATGTCTCAACTGAGCTAAGGGGTAAGAGACTTTGTTTCAGATCTGGACATGGTGGTACCAGGGAAAGAGGATTAAACTAAAGTTGAAAAAGAAAATCTCAGAAGGAAAAGTTATGGACAACTATGATGGTCAAAGCTTTCTGCTTTTCTCATCTCGCAACTAGGGTTACTACAATAAACATGGTCTCTTCTAGACTCTCCTAATTATTAATTTCTCTATATGTCTCTTGTTAATCAACATATATTGGTTTGTGTTGTCTGTTTCAGATGCAGTATTTATGTTTTTCCCAAAAAAATATAAAAGCCCTCCTGCCTCTGCTTCCCTAGTATAAACATAGAGCACACTCCAAATATTTGCTGAATTGCATCTGCAAGGTCATTTACACATTTTAACAACTTTAGTTAAAAGGAATCTAAATTAATTTCCATAGCAATAATCTGCCCATAAATATTGAACTGACTTTGTTACTCACCTCTTGATCCCTTAAATTTGTATCTCCTGCAAATATAACTGTAGCTATCTGTGGAGTCTCTTGCATTTTCTTTAAAACCATTTTTAACTGACTCATTCTTTCCTCAGCATGCCCTCTGGTGCTCTCCAAATGGGACGTCATAAGGCAAAGTTCATTTCCCGACACACTTGCCTGAAATAGGATAAATAATAATAGTCATTATAATTATCCATTAACCACTAATGTTGAACTCTGGTAACAGAATTAGGAGATTATTCAATTGACTGGTGTACATATACTAAAGTGAAACTATACATAACCAATACTGTGCTATCCTTCTAGTTCAAAAAAGTATAAAGCGCTAATCCTGCTCCCAAAGAAGACTACTTATCAAGCACCTGCTAATACTTCAAGGCCTACCTCAAACGTCGTCTCCACTGTGAGCCCTTCCCCGCTGTTCCCAGGCAAGTCAGTGGCTCCCTCTCCTATATACTTGTAGCGTGCTGGAGACTGGCTTTAAAGTCCCCTAGACTGAATCGTACAGCGCCATCATTTCTCTCCTACAAAACCATGAGTCATTTGAAAGCAAGGATGGTTCTTTTATTTACTACTGTATTATCAAGAGCCTGGCACATAAGTACTTAAAAAAAGATCAGTTAAATGAATAAATGAGAATCATTTACCATTTGCAATTAAGATACCAACAATGCAGGATTTGTCATTACTTAGACTAATTGCCTGCAGAATCAAGTTCAAATTCTTTCATACTGGGTATTTATGACCTTCTATAATCTGGATCTTACCGACTTCTTGTCACATGACCCCTTTTGTGCCCTGTACACCCAACTGAATAGAATGCTCATTTATACCCTTTCTCATATACACAGACATGAGATTTACAAGAGTTTGGTCATGGTAGTTCTGCCACTTGGACTGTTCTCAATGTCTATATCTTACATATTTTTCAGGGCCCAATTCAAATACAATTTCCTTCATGAAACTTCCACTTAACAATCTAACAGATGTTGTCATAAGCAAAAAAAATTTTTTGTACCTATGTATGGTGACAGATGTTACCTGGACTTATTGTGATCATTCTGCAATGTACAGAAATACCACATCAATTACATTGTACACCTGAAACTAATATAACATTATTCCAATTATATCTGTTAAAAAAACAAAAAAAGTATAGCTAAAAATTATCTTTTTTCTAAAATGCCAGGTACATCATTATACCTCTCCTGTGGCATTTATGCCTTTCCTTTATTTCTGTTACTATATATATAATCTCTCCCTTGCTAATCTATAAACCTGGTAAGAGCTAGATCTATTTGACTCATTTTTGTAAGCCTCACAGAGTACACCATACTGTAAACAGTACATTTAGTGAAAAAAAAAATACTTTAGAAATAGGTGGATGGTAGCAAACTCTTAAAATAGTTTTAGTTTTAGGGAAACATATAATGAATCACAGATTTTATATTTACAAATCTGTCTATATTTAAAATTTATATAAAAACAATTTACCAAGTTAAGACTATTTAAAAGCATATACAAGTAAGGAACAAATCTTTCTCTAAAGGCAGTGTTTTTTTTTTAAAGATACTATCACAGAAATATAAAAAACAATTTTAAAAAAAATCACTTACATATACACACAAAAGGTTTCTCCTCATTTTTGTATTTGGAAAAGGAATGATCTCTTGGCTTTTAAATTTCACTCTTGATTTCTTCAACATTATAGCTGTGAAATATCCATCTTCATCACCTTCAAAAGTTTGTGGGAAATAATTTAGGCTGAGAGGTCAAAGGTATTTGCAGTTTATCACAAGTTCCACTACTGAAGATTTTATAACAGATAGGTACAGATATTTAAATAGATCTAAATCTTAAAAGTAAATTATTATTTCAAAATAGTTGAAGGTGGCCAACCAAATACCTGTATTTACCTACTCCCTCCCAAAATGTAAATGGAAGTATGGAAGATACATAAAAATAAAAATGAATTCACATAAGTACCAAAAATAGTTAATGGTGCCAATATCAAACAATAAAAATTTCTTAAAGAGTAGATGAGACTTACACTGAGACAAGTTGACATGCATTTACTTCTCACTCTGGAAGCACCAAAAGAATTTTACTAAATTAATTAGAAATTTTAAAAGGTGTGAAGTTGCAAGAAAAAAAAAAGATAAGAAGTGTAGAGGCAGTGAATAAAAAGCTTACAACAGTCTTTCAGAAAACAAAGTAGATGGACAAGTGGTAGCTGGTTATCAGAACAGAGGGAAACCAGGAAAAGAGGAAAAGGAAGAGAAGGGAGGAAGGAAAAAGGAAAGGAGGAAAAAAAGAATGAAAGGGAGGTAAGGAGGAAGGCTAGAAAACAGAAAGACAGCAGGCAGGCTGGGGGGCGGGGGCGGGGGAGGGGGAGGGGAGAAAGGAGATGAAGGGAGGGAAGGAGAGAGAAAAAACAAGAAAAACATAATTTCCAGAACTGAAGGTCACAAACCTCCAGATGGGAAGTCCTACCAAGTGCTCAGCTCAATAAATGAATAAAAGACCCAAAGAACACTAGGATTAAAAAGACCTTCAAAGCTTCCAGACAACGATCATAGAAAAAAAACAACAGGTATCTGAATGGCATCAAATTTATGATCATTAATAACAGAAACGAGAAAATGTACTCCCTATGCATTATTGCCTAGATAGTGATTGGAGAATGTGCTCCACTAAAACGGGGAAGTAAACCAAGAGTGGGGGAAGCATGGGATCAGAGAACAAGAACTCCAGAAGAGAAGAGAGACATAAAGAATCCCCAAGAGAACGCAGAAAAACCGTCCTACACAGAGATTAAGAGAACCCTCTCTTTAGCAATCTTGGATTACAGTTAATCCAAGTTAAAATTAATACTATGTAAAAGTGAATGTCAAAGAAATCATGAGGTTCAGCCAAAAATCATGTAATACAGCCAAAGCAGTACTTTATATACACTTAGTAAAAACAAAATAGAAAAAAAAAAAAAACTAAATTATT